GCCACTGAAAATTTGCTGGAGGGTCAGCTATGGGTCAATTCCAACTCAATAGTGCACAACAACAACAACCACACAAGCAATAAGCACTCAACTGTTGAGATTCTACTAACAAGCCTCTAAGAATGCAACTTAAAAGAGATATTAGGTTAACTTCATTGAAAGCAATGCCTTGCATGAGATCACAGGCTAAATCACATTGCAACACCCCCCTCCCCAATAATACATCTATAGAATTCCACAGTTGGAATTTGCATCCATTCACCACTGATGCTGTAAAAATTACCACAGATTCGGTGGTTTAAAAAAATATTATTTTGCAGAGGAAGTCAGAAATCTCAAGTCAGTATAATAGAGCTAAAATCAGAAGATGCTTTCCTTCCAGATGCTCCAAGAAATAACCCATTTCTTCCTCCTCCCCAATTTCTAGAGGCAGCCCCCATTTTTTTTTCTCTTGTGGTGCATTATTCCAACTTCAGCTTTTCTTACTCTGACCCGTTCACATGGGCCCTAACCACAACATTGGACCCACCTAGATAGTTCAGGATACTTTTTCCATCTCAAAATGTGTAACTGAATCAGATTTGCAACGCCCCTTTTGCTAAGTAAGGAAACAGATCCACAGCTTACAGGAATTTGATGTAGACATCTTGAGGGGTTAGAAGCCGTACCCTAGATAGTACAAAGGTTTCTCTAAGTCCCCAACAGAACAAAGTACATGTCAGCTAAGGAGCCTCTTTGCAGTTTACAGGAGTAGAACAGAACCTTCAGGAAGTACTGCCCAACTGTCAGAGTCAATCTTGGAGCACATTATCAACAGGTTCCCAGCTGACTACAGGGGGATATGGAGCAGGGAAGGAAGCGCTGGTGTGGGCCTTAGCGATGATTGGCTTTCTCGGGTAACTTCTCACCTGCCTCATTTCATTGCCTTAGATTAGATTTGTGGGATATGGGGAAGAGAGGGAAGATAAAGGCTCTAAGTTGTTCAATTTCACGTGTTATGGCTTTGGGTAACCTGCCCACAATGAGATCCACTAGAAACAGTCTTCCTGCCAGCTGGTGGAAATGCCTGGCTCTGCACCAGCTGGCATGGATAGAAGTGAAATCTCCAAACTTTAACTCTGTGTTGATGAAGTTCTAATCTGTGAGTCCTTGGGCAAAGCAATGCTGCTACTGCAGAAACAAGGGTGTGCTGCCAGCTCATCGTGGCTCCAGGGAACGCCTAGTGCCCTTGTGAAATGTGCTGCTCAGGAAATAATTTTCAAGACTTTTGAAAAGGATGAACGTCACTTCTACCTGTTAGCCGCTGCGCTGGCCCTCCCTGTGCCACGTTTATGATGGCGGAGCTCCTGCTACAGACCATTACACACTCATGATGTCAGCTCCAACTTGGCTGTTAAACAGCCTCCCTCTCAGTGATGCTTAAACAAAGGTGGCCTGTCAGGAGGCAGTAAGGCACCCTGACCACAATTTCCTGCACCATCGCTCAAGTTGCTGCACGTAAAAAATTTTATGGTTACTGATTAACTGTGGCCAGAAATCACAGAATGGGATGCTGTCCCCGCGCCCCTCGCTACCCCCCACCCCCGATCCCTTTGTTTGAATAGTCATTGCATCACTCCGGTTCTTTTTAAGATCTGAAATAAAAGCTAAAGTGAATTTCCAAGTAATAAAATTTACTCAAGTCACTAAAGAGGGGCCCATTTATAACCATTTTCTGTGATAAAATCCATATGTTGGGCTTGGCAAATAACACCAGAGACTTGAGTTCTTCTCTTTTTGAAATGCACTGAAGTTATTTTTCTAAAGATGTGAGGTTGATAGTGTAGCAACACCTGACAGCATGAGTGCTGAGCGTGACCTGTCCTCTCCTCTGTGGGGGAAGCACGCAGGGCCTCACAGCAGCAGACAAGGCTCTAGGCCCCTGCCTTACCAGGCTTGTCCCGACGCCTTTTTGTAGCCTGTCTTCAAGTTCACATTCTCCTCTGGTCTCCTTGGATCCTCTGACGACCTGTGCCTGCCCTCTGACATTTGACATTTTCCTTCCTTTCCTCCCAGCCTCCTCTCTGGGGTCTTGCTGAGAAAATTCCCATTGCCATATCAGCCTATGTTGGCCAACTGCTAAGAGAATTCTCTTTGCTTGACGAACCATCATCACAATCCCATTTCCAAGTTAGTTTCTTACTCAAATAAATGCATCTAGTACCTGCTTTGCAGGGAACTTTGGTGGTCTAGTGGCAAGAAGCTGTGCTACAATCCCAAAGCCATGTAGTTCAAATCCACCAGCCGCTCCACGAGAGAAGGATGGGCAACCTCCTCCTGTGTGAGTAACTGCCTCCGAAAACCTGCTGGAGGGTCAGCTATGGGTTGGTTCCAACTCAATGGTACACAATAACAACAACAACAACTTTGCCAGAGTGACACCCATTCCAGACAGCACTCCTTTCCTTCCTGATCACCATGGTTCTCTAACTGTGGCCACAGGGTGGTGGTCAGGTGGCACTCCCTCTGAGGTCCCTGTCTGGGGTGGACAAGCACACTACGAGGCTGCTCCTGCTCACGCCTCTCTAGACGCCAGTGATGAGTTCAGCTTCTTCCTCTTTCCCTATCCGAGCTCTCTGGATCCTTTCCAAGTGAACCCTGCCTTCCTGATACTGCACGTGCTGTTCCAGGAAGGGCCTTTCTTGTCCTGCATCATGAAATTTTCTATCCACTCATGTTTTCCTATCCTTCTTCCTCTTTTTGAAGCTGCCCAAAACAACATGCAAGAGTTGAATGTGAAGAATGTCCTCTGGCTTTGTAAGGTCTGGTCGTCAGCTGGGACTGGGTATTGGGCTTTGCGTGATACCTTTAAACCTCGCATCCTTGTTTTCCTAGGCTCTTGTCTCCCCACTGGTTGCTCCGTCACACACCACACTCTCAGGGCCAACATACCCCAGAGGGGAAGACTCAGTGAGTAGAAACCATTTTGCCAACACACAGTTACGTGCTTGTGCCTTGTCCTGGCACAGCGATCGTGAGAAATGCAGGGGACAAGTGACAATAAGCCGAGGCAATCATCACCTACAACAATGTCACCTGGGAATGCCCAGGGATGGTTATCAAGCTATTGCTGCCTCATCAAGTAAATGCTTCAACACAAGAGACATGGTGAAACAGGATGGCAGACCTCACTGTACCACAAGCTGGCCATCCTAGTGGGGTCCCTTTCATGGAAAGCTGAATTAACAGAGGAGGGGCATCTAAATCCTTTGTTTCCGAGATGTAGAAGAGTCATTTTCTTGTCACCCTTTAGCTATCTTCCAAAAATCAATTATGTGGGACCTGGCCTTGTATTTAATTAATTAATTGGCTGTTTATTTGAGTACATAATATATACACTTGGGAAGAAGTCAAAGAAAACAAAACAGAAGCCTTTGCTGTGTTGGGTTTCCCACCCCCCAGCCCCCATTTCAATCCAAGCACCATAGAAGGATGTGTATAAAATTTGCTTCATCACTATTTGTCCAACGCAGCAACAACGGCTGCTGGTAGCAGTTCTCCGTCCCTGAAGGTGCGTCCTCAACTCTCAGGTGTTCAGTCAACTCTCAGCCTTGAGTCTGGGCTCTCAACAGGCCGGGGGCCCATTGTCATAGACCTGCCTGAGGCAGGCACCTCAGACTCTTCTGTTCTCTCCCAGCCCGGCCAAGACTCCTAATATCTCTTGATGTATAATAGGGTTGCTAGTTACCTCACATAATCAAGGTCACAAGATGAAGTATTTGTACCCATAAAATACTTATATCTATGAAGAAAAGTGTGTTTTTCCTTGCTTTAGTTGGTTATTAAGTTGGAGATGTCTGCTCAGAGGCAATGCTACAAGCAATAAATTTGAAAACCTCCAGCATTGGAAAGGGTTCAAGGTAGTGGCTTAGAGTTTCTTAATCCTCAGCTTCTGTAGACAAGAGGAAGATCAGGCCTCACAAGTGGCTCAAGGTTTCCCACAACTCGTCTTCCTGTCTGCAGGAGGGAGCCAGCTTTGAAAGCTGTGCACGGTTGACGCCAAAACAGATTAGGTTTCCCCGGAATTCGGAAAGTTTCTGTTAGAACATGCACGCTACTGTTTCCACCAGGCCATCAGGCAGTGAATGCTGTTTCTCTGCGTGCTGACAAGAATACCCAGTCCTACTGTAGCTAAACTGGTTCACACCCTATTGGCATTCTCAAGTATGTTGGTGCAGTGTAGATTTGCAAAATCTGGCATAATAATAATAATAATAATAATAATGTTGTTCGGTTTAAGTTGATATCAATTCTCAGCTACTTAGCAGCTAACATTTCTCGAGCACTGGATATGTGACAGGCACTGTATGCAGACATGAATCTTTCCCCCATTTAATCCTCATAACAGCCATGCAAGGCAGGTCCTACTCTTATCCCCATTTTGCAGATGAAGTCATTAAGGATTCCAAAAATGAAGCAGCTTGCCTACATAAGCACCAGTGAGTTGTAGCAGGACATATGAGGCCAAGTCCTTAACACATTTTGGTATCTCATGTGTATTCCCAAGCCCTCTAAGTCTTTTTTAATTTATCTACCTTAGCACCACAGAAGAGGGATGGTGTTTTTTGTTTTGTTTTTGTTTTTGTTTTTTTTAGCATAAGCTCAACAATGGGCCTTCTTTCCCAAGTCACACACCCGTGGCTTTTCTATCAAATATCTGTATCATATAATGAGGATGAAAAAGCACATACATTTCAACCTTCTTAAAATCCCAAACCAGCCTTGAAAAATGTATCTAAGTCTTGACAGCAGCCTTAAAAATGCCAACCAAAATTGGCCAGCTTACTAAAAACGCCACTCCCAAGCACAGACAGTTCCCTAGCATGTCTGCACGTGTGTGTGTCTTCGTGGTTCTTAGGCGGCCTGACCATTTAGAAGGCTGGCCCAGGCCTGAGGGTGCTGTTGCTGGCAGCATGCAACACAGCCTGCTTGGTGGTTGGTGGTGTAGGGTGATTACTCACGTTGATTTGCCACAAATTTTCCGTTGGTACCACTGTTTGCAGTTGGTGAAGTACTTCTTGTTGGTGCCAATGAGTTTCTGCACGGCGCACACGTTGGGGCTGAAAATAAGCAACAGCGTCAGCAAGATGGCTAGCGCACCCACCCCATGTGATATGCTTCCCACCATTTACTCATCCTAGGGCTTTAGAAGTGCCTAAGGATGGAGGAGATCCCATCTGCACAGTGATGTGCAGGCAGTGGCTTGGAAGTAGACACTGCCTCCCTGACCTAGGTTTCCTTCAGCCCTTCTGAATGAAAAATAAAATCATGAGGTATATTGTACACCTTGATGTAATTTCATAAAATCATCCTTCTTTGACACAGATAATCAAAGAGTGCAAATCAAAGAAACACTGAAAGTTTCCAATTGTATGTACAGATTGAGAAAAGTGACAAAGTAAAAGCGGCATGCTTATAAGCAAAATAGCCATTAGGGAAGACGCTGGACTTTCTCTGCACTTGACCTTGCACTGCATTCAAAACTTCCAGTCTTTCAGCCAGACCCAGTGTCCTGTGGATAAGGCCGACAGCATGCTCCAGGACCTCCCAGGCAGCTCTACACTCTGTACCCCATGTCAGCTGCCTGGCTCCCAGGACAATCTACTGGGAATGTCCACATAGCTGTCAGGATCACTGCAATAGACCTCCTTGCATTTAACCCTGTCATCATTACTCAGATCTTCACTGAAATTTCCCCTCCTCCTTTGCCTCACTGACTCCACATTCCTTCCTTCCTTTTATCTGGGACATAACCACCATATCCCTTGTTTGATGCTGGCCACCAAACATGGCTTTGTAACTGATAACTAAGGTGAGTATGTTCTCTCTCTTCAACTGCCCTGAAAGTACCATAAACACAAGTGCTCCACCTTTTTCATTATTTCAGAGTCTAGACAAAGCCTAGCACGAGGTCAGGGTGGAGAAGGAGCTTGGATGAGACTTGTTGAAAACACCACTCCTAGAACCATTCAGCTCAGAAGAATTCCCAGAAACTCTGTGGAAAGCTGAGTACCAATGCCCTGGGGTTCTGCTGGGAAGTCTTTCCCAGAGCCGTGGGATTCTGGTTTTGTGCATGTTATTCTGCTGTACTGAGCCCTGACTTGAATCCTGCTCAGGTCTTGAGATAGTGAGACCTTCATTTTGTCCTTGGCTCAAGGAGGTTGCGTGGCTGCAAGGTGCAATGGGGAGGGGTACTAATGAGCCCGGGACAGGCAGTTCATCTTACAGGGCAGAGGAAAGGAAACAGAAATGAGGGATTCAAGAAAACCTCTGTTCCTAGAGAGCTGGAATGCAAGGAGTTTTCTTTAATATCAGTTTCTCTAGTACTTTAAAAATGTTATCTGTTGCTATCATTGATGTGCACAGTATTTTTTAGGAACACACTGACATTGTAGTGAGAACTACATCTACCATCCCCACTGTATTGGCTGCAAGAACTTAGTCCACTCTTAAACAGGCATTCAGATGATTGAGTTAGGGTGTCATTCTGATCTGTTATTGTGGCTATACAGCTGTCACCTCTGTCTAGTTTGCTTTTTAACACGTTGCTGCAATTGACGGCAAATGTGTTTCTTTTTTTTTTTAATTATTTTTTGTGTGTGGACCATCAAATTGGATCTGACTGGTACAGGAGGAGATTGCCCCTCCTTCTGCAGCAGAGCATCTGGTGGATTTTGAACCATGTACCTCTGGGATTGCAGTGCAGCTTCTTGCCAATAGGCCACCAGAGCTCCATGGCAAATGTGTTTCTAAGCATGGTTGTCAATTTAAAAAGTGTGCAGCAATGTGTTAATAGGCAAAGATGAGTGAGCCAAGGGGACACAGTAAATACTAGTGAATCAATGCAGGAACCGAAGGCTTGGGAAGCTAAGCCAGGAAAGGAAGCCACAAGCTGGTGGGGGCGGGGGAGCAGAGCTCACATCTCCTAGTCCCAGCCAGGTCTAACCACCACCTTCCTTCCCTGTTGCTTCCTGGTAGTCATAGGAGACAGTGGCTTGCAATTGATCTCGGAAAAGTCCCTACTGGCCATATGTCATGCCTGAGGTGCTGTTAATGGCTATCCAATCTTAGAAGTTCATCTACCCAGCCTTGCAGGAAACTATTACTGTCAATGAATTCCCTGCAACTTTTCGTAGGCACCTGGCAGATCTTCAGTGAGTCTCTTACGGCTGTAGCTCCCACACTCCTCTGCAGAGTGAGTGTCCACGGCTGCTGCCTTCTGAGACAGGAGTGGACAGGAACAGAGGCTGGGGGCTGCTGGGACTGCTCCTCTCACATCAGGGGGGGCTGCATACATAAGAGATGTATGCCGACATTTAATCAAAATCAACAAGCCATGGAGGCACTTCTGGTTCATCTTCCTCAAGTTTAACTGCATTATTTAGTGTGGACTGGAGACCATGCGCTTGAGGAGATTCAGCCCAGTTTTTGGTTGTTGGCATTTGGAAGTGTGATTACACTCTTACTTCTCTCTTTTTAACAGTCTTTTCTATAGCAACAAAGAAACAAGTGGGAGTCAAGAGACCACGTCATAGTCACTCTTCTCTCAACAGTTCTCTGTGTCTGGACCAAGTTGCTCTGTCTCATTAAGCTACAATTTCTCCATCTAGAAAATGAGAACATGAACAACAACTGGCCTTGTGTTGTTGTGAAGAAGAAAGTCAAAGTGGTGCAAGCTGACGTCCAGCAAAGCTCAACTGTCATTTCTTCCATTCACGTCTTGGAACATGGACATTTCCTTAAAATAGCAGAGATTTCTTTCCCCCTTTCTCCCTTTTCACTAATTGTTGCTCTGAATGAAGTGTTGGAACCCGAACAAGGTTATCCATTTTGCACATGGTGCCATATTCATGTGTGTAAGGCCAGACAGTCCCTTGGTGCTTTCAGAGACAGGTCAGCGTAAAAGCAGTGTGCCTGTACTCATTTTGTCACAGCCCTCCGCCTGCGGATTGGAGCCCTTTCTGTGTGAGGCAGCAGACGTGTGATTTCTTAGAACAGTCTGCTTATAGCAGGCCAGGGAATGCCTTTCCAAGTGCGCTGCAAAAACTTAATCAAGATTATTAACCCCAAGGACTAAGGTGGAGAATATCTGAGACTCATAGTAAACAGCATCTATATTTATTTTTTTTTAAAGGGGGTGTTACTTTCTATAGACTTTTTTAGTTCTAAATAGAAGGAGTTTGCTATGGAGATGATTCTTGGTGGAAGACCCTTAGCACCTTTTTTTGAAACTTCACTGCACAGTCACACTAGTATGGGTCACAATGATGCAGGGTATGCTACAGATCTCTTCTCCTGACTCAGTGGCAAGAACAGTTTATTAATACATGTTTTTGTTGAGTGCTGTCAAGTCGAGCCTGACTGATAATGACAATATGAACAAGAAGCCTGAAGCCTTTCTATTACTATTGTCGTTTCTCCTAGTTCATAGGGTTTCCAGGGGTACGTGGTTTAGGAAGTAGATGCCACTTCTGCTTCCAAACCTGTCTTAAACTGGCAGCTCCAAAAAAACACTGTCCACCATGGGCAACCCTTATGGCATTTGACCCCCCAATGGCACAAGGTTCAGCATCACAGCAAACCCAGATTACCTCAGTGCAGCAAACTGACAGATGAGTGCTGTACAACTAAAAAGAATGTTCCTCCAAAATAAAATAACACTAGGCTCAACCAATTTTTAAATACAAGGGTGCACACTTGCGCCTCCCTCTCTCTTTCTCTCTCTCTCTCTCTCTCACACACACACACACACACACACACACACACACAGACAAACATATTGTTGTTGTTGATTGCCTTCGAGTCAAGCATGACTCATAGCGACCCTATGAACAAAATCTTACAATAACTATCATCATTTCTCCAAGTTCATAGTTTCCAGAGGCATGTGATTTAGGAAGTGTATGTGTATGCCAGTTCTGCGTCTAAACCTGAATCAATCTGGAAGCTCCACCAAACATTGTCTGTGATGGGTAGCCGTTATGGTGTTTGGCACAACTACGGCACAGTTAGTTGTTCCATTATGGCATTTGACATCCCAATGGTATAAGGTTCAGTGTCACAGCAAACCCAGAGCACCTCAGCACAGCAAACTGACCACAGTGCTATATGCCTTAGAAGAATGTTCCTCCAAAATAGAGTAACAAGGGATTAAAAATATAATCTCTTGAGTCCAACTTTTAAATATAAGGGCCCTCCAGGAGGTCTTATTGACCAAGCCAATTATTAAGTAAGCATTAGTAAGCCATGCTTACTTTTCTTACTGACTACTTGGTCCCTGTCAGGGATAATAAATCTGAAAGCAGACTGATTCGGTAGGAAAGTGCTGTTGGGTTGGGAGAGAGACAGATGCCAGCCATACCTAGAAAGAGAATCTTGGATGTGGTGGAAAAAAAATTATGAAATTGTTCACCACAAGTAACTGCAGGTTTAGCAAGGAAGCATAAGGAAGCCTGTGCTTATCTTGCTTACTGGGTAATCTACTCCTGCTTACTGGCTAAACTACAGAAGGAATAGAAACCTCCCAGGCTGACTGTGGTATCAAAGCATGAAAACAAGACAAGCTTCGTTAGCAAGGAAGGCAGAGGGACCAAGATGAGCTGAGCAGGGACAGTGTAAACTCTAATTACTCATATTTTGACTTTCAGGTTTCACAAACCTCTCATCTTTCTGACCTATCCCCCTCACCCTCTTGAAGGCACAGCCTATGTCAAAAGTAATTCTTCCCCTCCCCTAAGCCCCTATTAAGTACCCAGAACTTAGGGGAGCTCTGGTGGCCTAGTGGCAAGAAGCTGCAACTACAATCCCAGAGGTGCACGGTTCGAATCCACCAGATGCTCTGCCGGGGAAGGAGGGGCAATCTCCTCCTGTACCAGTCAGATCTGATTTGACAGTACACGCACACAAAAATAATAAAATAAAAAAAATTTTTTTAAAAAGTACCCAGAGCTCTCCTCTTTCTAGGTGTGACTTCTGCACAATCTGGCTTGATTTCATGCTGCAAAGTGGTTGGACAACTTCCCTTTTCCCGACATCAGCCCTGAGTGTCTGCAAGGCCAGGTAAAACAATAAAGCTCAGAAAGAAAGCACAAAGAGAACTTACTCCCTATGAAGGGGCACCATGTGCTCACTCCCAGAGTACTCTTAGGTGTAGGGAACCACAGCTTTAAAAGGACCTGTAAAGTCATCTTTAATCAACCTGTTATAGTAAGTTTTGAGATTGCTGGTGGTTTTGTGGTAGAATTCTTGCATTCCATGAAGGGGACCAAAGTTGATTCTTAATTAGTGAAGTTAGTATTACAGCCATTGCTTGTCTGTCAGTGGGGTATTTTGTGTATTGCTATGATGCAGAGAAGATTTCAGAAGACCGTGGAAGCCATGGTAGACTAGGAAGAAAGGCCTGCCAATCTACTTCCAAAAATCAGCCAAAGGAAACTCTATTTATCACAATGATCAGATTCATAATTGAATGGGCTGCCATGAGTCGTGGAGAGACCTGATGGCAGCTAACAATAGCACCTTGGGTTTTGATCCATGTACAAATCTACAGTCATCAGTGGGCTAGTCACTGACTGGATTTGAATTCTAGATCTCAATGGCATTAGGGCACTGACATATAGTTTTCCCCAGATGTGCACATACAGCAGATTGGCACAATCAGGTAGCTCTGAGCTATGAGCCTGGCTAAGTGAAAAGCAGGTGAACTATAGTTTTAGAAGTGGAAATCTTGACCCTTTCTGCCTGGGCCTATGCTGAGTTCTTGACCAGACCAACCCCTCTGCCTGAGTTTGCCTTTTAATGCCAACAATCTTCAGCATCTCAAAGCAATATCTACAAAGCTAGTGTCCCAAATTTACAAACCCAACTATTGCTTTAATGTAAACTTCAATGTTCATTCTAGTGCATACTGCAGGGCCCTAGGTGTATCCTCTCTGGACTCAGTTTTCCCATCTGTACAAGGTATCTGGTGGCCTAGTGGTAAGGATTTGCACTGCAACCACATAAGCACGCATTTTAACCCACCAGCTGCTCTGCGGGATAAAGACAGGCATTCTCCTGTGCAATTATAACCTCTAAAAGCTGCTAGAGGGTCACCTATCAGTTGGTTCTCATTCAATGATCTATAATAACAAACAACCTATCTGGAGGCTGCAGGGGCCCACTATCCTTGCTGTGCCCAAGAGTATCTTCTGGTGCCAGGCGGTGGTGTCTCGGGCAGCGGGCCAAGTGTTCCCAGGCACCTGGCCACCTAGGATGCTGACGCCTAGTTTCAGTCTCACATCTGGAGTGGATGGATGTACCAGGACCTAGCTGGTTTGCAATGTGTGCACCACTAGGTGGGCTTCCGGTCCGTCCTGGTCACCTTCTCCCAAGGACTGTGGATAAAGAGCAGTCAGTTCATCCTTCCTCCTGTCAGCTGGGAGGTGAGGCTCAAAGCCCTGTCCATTTCAAGTTCTTGGCTTGAGTAGGGCGCCACTGATCAGGTCCCCCAAGCCCTTCCTCTAGTGTGTTTCTTCTGCTCTCTTTTCCTCATTTGCTTCCCACGACCCTCTCTCCTTACCCAGCTCAGGAATGGCCTCTTCTGAGTACTCTCGCTGCCTGCTTTCTATCCCGGCTTTGCCGCCCGCGTCCCAGTGCGCAGCGCTACCCTGGTCTTGCACTCGGAACTCGAGCGTCCCTTCCCCTCTCCACCCGCAACTGGGCAGCTGGCTTACCCGTGCTGCCGGCCCCGGAGACGGCTGTGCTGCAGCACCAACTGGTAGGGCGACTTGGCGGGTCCCTCCAGGGTCGCGGCAGGGCCCAGGGCCAGCGCCAGGATGAGGGGCAGCAGCCGCTCAAGAAGCGCCATGGAGTTGGAGGACGCGAACTGATCACAGCCACGGGCTAGCGGGCAGCTGCAGGGAAGTGAGAGCGCCTCCGCCGACCTCGCCAGGTTAAATAAGCAGCGAGCGAGGGAGGGAGCTGCCGCGAGGGGCGGGGAAGCCGGAGGGGGGTGGGGGGGGGCAGACCCAGGGCTTCTCTGCGTCCGCCCCCGCCCACGACCCCCCAGGCCTCCCGGCTGGCACAGAGCCGTATCACTAACTTTCTTCTTAGTTTGCTCACTTTTTTTTCACTCGTCCACTTACTCGATCCGTCCTCCACCTCCTGTGACCTCCCAGGCTCCAATAGTGATAAAAGTCCCTGGAGGTCTCCTTCCTTACAAATGGAGATGTCTTCGAGCTAGGCGAGCTAGGCGCAGCGACCTCTAAGCCTCCCCTCCAAAACTTCATACTTTATCCGGGTCCTACAGAGCCCCGAGCGCAAAGACCCTGCACTGGTCTTATTTGTGGTGATTGTTATTGTTGGGTGCCTACTCAGAGCGGACACTTCAGGCTTTAAATCTCACAGGAAAAGAATGCCCATCTTTCCCATAAAGAAGCTGGAACATTGATCTTGAGGCTGCAAGAAGTTGCAGGGGCGCAGGGAGGAAAGGGATGGCCAGTATCCCCAGAATACTATCGTCCCAGACTTCACTTTGCAGTCTAGAACCCTCTACCTTCAGCCTTGTTAACGGAAAGAGAGCTAAAGACCACATTGTGTAATTGATTGACCCCAAAATATGCGGGGCAGGGGTTGCTAGACTTCTAAGCTGCTCTTGTAAACCTTGGGGAAGGGTGGGGTGTATAATACCTTGGTATTCACTCTTGATCACTTTCAATAAACATCTTGGCAGCCCAGTTTGACAAATGAATGCTCCTCAGAGATTGAAAAGACAAGATTTCTGCCCGGAGGAGCTCAGGGCAAGTAAATAATCACATGGTTGAAAGCTAAGTTCCACTCAAGCAATTACATATCACCCACTACTTAGCTGATTCTGCTAGTCCTTCAAAGACAAAGAAAGATCAACAGTCTTTCTGGAAACAAACAAACCCCTCACAGTTGGAGGGATCTGCACCCTGTAGCAATGTGCCCTAGAAGGGGTGGTCTGGGGAACTCGGGAACTCAGAACGGGCACCTGAGCGTGGCAGGCCAACATCTGCTCTTAGGCTTAAAGCATGAGAAGGCATGTGTGCAGGGAATGAAAGGTATTCATTTGGCAGAAGCATGGGGTGCAAGGATCATAGGGAAGGGAGGAGGGTGACAGTGCAGTAATTAGATGCTCAAGGATCCCAGGGGTCAAGCTAAGAGTTCTAAAAGTAGTTAAAAAGCAATTAAATTACATGACAAGTCAGTGTCATGGATAGATTGAGCAGATCAGATAAAATAAGACACAGGCAGAGAGATCATGCCAACATGAGGAAGCAATGGAAAATTTGAACTGTGATAGAGGAGAGGGCGTGGAGAGAGATGGGCAAGTTCAAGGTCTGTCTATGAGATAGTATTTGAAGTCAAATTTGGAAACTTTATACAGGGAGTAGGAGCAAAAGATGAGTCAAGGACAACTAAGTGTTTTAGACCTGGGTATCTTGGTGGATGGTGGTGCCATTTTTTACTGTGAGAGACATAGAAGGAGGCATGGGTTTATTGGGAGAGGATGCCTGGCTTTGGGCAGACTGAGTTTGAGGTGCTTATAATTCATTCTGGTGGAGTGTCCTGTGGCTCAGGCTCCAGAGTCAAGCAAGCTTCAGACCAAGGTGTCATCCACAGCCGTCAGAGACACTGAGACTGTGGGGATAGATGAATGTGAAGACAGGTGGAGCAAGAGGCGGGCCGATGGCAAGAGTGAAGGACAGGAGAGATGGGGCAAAGGAAGGATGAATGTCAACAGAAATCAATTTGGGCTGAGGAGCAATCAGTAAGGGCGGAGAGTTCTAGAAGGAGGGAGCTGTTAACACTGAGGACTCTTGCACATGATGGATCTGAAGAGCCTCTTCTGCATTTATACTAGCAGAAATCACTGGGGAATTGGCTGTAGAGAGTGGTTTTAGGGCAATGGAGATGCTGAAGAAGAAGGTGGTGGGTGACTTAAGGGAAAGCAGGACATTACATGAGATGGTGGACACAATGAGTAGTGTAGACAACATTGTCAACTATATTGTCTGAAAAAGGAAAGAATGAATGAGGCTAGAAACTTGGGGAAACAAATCAACAAAGGCTTGACTATGTTAAAAAACCTGATTGAAAGGAAGACATCAATGCCATAGGAGAGAAAAGAGATAGAATAATGGGCTATGAGAAGCCAGAAGAGGTAAGTGGAGAAGGGATTATATAGAGAAGATCTGAATCTTCAGTATATAGGAGTTGGAAGGGGAATTATATATTGAAGATCTGAATTGGGGAAACGATGTGGAGAGGAAGAGATAGGTTTAAAAAATATTTTAGTGATAGCATTGACTAGACATGGAAAGTGTTTATTACAGATGAGGGAAAGAAAAGAGGAGGAAAGAAATGAAAGGCATGTTACTAGGATGACTATGTTACATGGATGGTGTTCACCAGCGAAAGTGTGCATTGGGGTGCTTGAGGGCACTTGAGTTGTTAGCTGTGCTACCTCTACTTCCAGGTGAAGAAGGTAAGGAAGGAGTTGCAGTCAAGGTCTACAATTCAAGAGAGATGTGAAGACTGTGGATGCAGATTTGCTAATAACTAGCATGCAAAGACTTTTGACTGTGTTGATCACAACAAGCTATGGCTGACTCTGAGAAGAATGGGAATCCCAGAACATTTGATTGTGCTTATGCAAAACCTTTACTTGGACCAAGAGGCAGTCATCAGAACAGAGCAAGAAGACACTACCTCGTTCAAAATTGGGTAGGGGGTCCACCAGAGATGTAGTCTGTTTCCATACCTTTTCAATCTGTATGCAGAACAGATCATCCGGATGCTAGCCTGTATGAGGAGGAATGTGGCATCAGGATTTGTGGAAGAGTCATCAACAACCTGCGTTATGCAGATGACACAACCCTGCTTGCTGAAACTGAAGAGGACCTGAAGCGCTTGCTGCAGAAGGTCAAGGACTGCCGCCTTCAATATGGATTGAAGTTCAACATCAGGAAAACAAAGATTCTCATCACTGGGTCAATTGGCAGCATCAGTATGGATGGTGAAGAGATTGAGATTGTGAACAGTTTTAGTTTACTTGGCTCCACAGTCAACATTCTTGGTACCAGCAGCCAGGAAATCAAGAGATGAATTGCATTGGGAAAGACAGCTATTAGGGACTTCTCTGCAGTACTGAAAAGCAATGATGTCAGGTTGGAGACTAAGGTGTGCATGATCCGGGCTATTGTTTTCGCAAGTGTGTGCTATGCATCAGAAAGTTGGACAGTGACTCGGGATGAAAGAAAGAGAGTTGATGCCTTTGAGTTGTGGTGCTTGAGAAGAGTGTTGAATATACCATGGACTGCCTTGGAGTCAAGGATTCTGAAGCTTCGTCTGACATACTTTGGGCATGCTGCAAGGAGAGACCAGTCCTTAGAGAGGGACATCATGTTTGGGAGAGTGGAGGGACCGTGCAGGAAAGGAAGACCCCATGAGATGGATCGATTCAGTGTTTGGGGTGGCGGAAGTAGGTGTGTCAGAGACAGTGAGGTTGGCACAGGATAGAGCAGGGTTTAGGGCTCTTGGAAGCGACTCGATGACACATAACAACAACAACAAGCATGCAAAAGTCTGCAGGCAACACAGTGTAGTGACTGACTATGCAGCCAGAAAATAAGCCTGGTGAACTGCTTCCAAAAAGCCATAGCCCTAAAAGCCTTATGCAGCAGTTCTAGCATACATACATGGGGCTGCCAGAAGTCAGACTCCATTCAGCAGCAATGAGCATTAACAACTAACAGTGTGCATGTGGTGACTGAGTCTATGGGCTGAGTGAGCTTCCTCAGGAGTGTGTATTGGAAGAGGAGAAAAAGGAGTGAGATGAAGAGGAGGAAAGGATAGGAGGACAAAACTCCGAGGCGAACTATCCTGGAGAGCCTGAGTGGTAGGTAGAGAAGGAATTCTGAAGGGACAGAGAAGCTCAAAGAGATGCAAAATGATCGTAGGAAAGGATATCAAAGAAAGCCCCCATTTTAGATAACTAACGTGTGAATTCATTGGCATCGAGCCAGAAATGACTCATAGCTGAACCCTAGCAGGTTTCAAAGCTGTAAATCACACAGGAGGAGTTTATCCATTTTCCTCTTCTAGAGTTGCTGGTGGATTTGACCCTCCAGAGAGGAGCAGCCTTTGTAGCAGTGCAACTTTCTACCCACCAGGCCAACAGAGCTCCTACCATTTTATACTGTTATTGTTATGTGCTGTCAAACTGTCTATCACTCATGCTGATCCTATGAACAATGAATCTGAACCCTGCCCTATTCTTTGCTAGCCTCATCATTTCTGATATACTTGATCCCATTATTATAGACACTGTGTCAATATATCTTACTGAGAGTCTTACACCAACAATCTACCTTTCCAAGTCTGATAGCTTTTTTCCAAAGACTGGCCTCTTCTAACAGCATGTCTGTAAAAAGAGCTAGGGCCATGTGGGGACAACCATATCTGACCTTTTCTGACTTTATAAAGGGGAAGTGTCCCCATCAAGGGCATCAATAGCATAAAATCAATTTCCATAAGGTCAGACTTGTTCCCCATGCACTCATACCTCTTTCTATTCATCTCAACACCAGTCTTACTGTTTTGCTGGGTCTAAAATGCTATGCAATAGCTCACAGACCGCACACAGTCATGTTAGGGAAGTCAAAAGGTTGTAACCCAGATTATTCCTTGTGGAATGGTGAGATAGCCAAACCCCTTGTGGTTATGCTAACATGCCTTATTCAGTAGTCCTGCCCATCTACATGATCAGGTAAGATTCAGATAGCTAGGAAAATAATTGTTGTTGTTATGTGCTGCTGAATTGCCTACAACCCATAGCAACCTTATGTATAGCAGCTCTGAACTCTTCCCTGTCCTGAGCCAGTCTCATTAAATCCTACACACCAATCCCCATTGCCCTAGTTACTGTATCAATCCATCTCATCTGGGATTTTCCTCTCCTGCATTCTCCCT